TGTGGCAAGGATGCCTTTGTTCTTCGTGTTGGTAGCAGGTTCAACTTGATCCTTTCTTGATACCTTTTGTGCTTTTTGAGGATTTGAAGACAGAGATGAGAAGCAGAGATATCCCACAGGACATGCCAAATTTGTAAACATGAAAATTTTGTAACGAATGAAATGAGAACACGTGTACAAAGTAGATTTGTATTGATTTGAATTTGTAGGTTACAATCTCTGTTTACAATTTTTCTCTGATTCAGTCTTCAAATTTGATGTAAATGCATGATTGTTGATCCGAGTGTCACAATGACTTGATCTCGGACAAACAGTTGAACGATTGCTTCAAGTTTTGAGCATGACAACAACGTGTGGATGATCTTCACCTCAAGAGTGCAGCAAAGGTAGTGTTTGATGTGGGATTTTGTTGCTTCAAGGGTCTTGGCGACTTGATCTTGAAACGAACGTTGTTACAAGTTTATAAGCTTGCAACAAAGTCTTGAAGGAATCGGCACAAGCGTTTGTTGATTCTTCAAGGGAGTGCTTCGGCCTTGGTCGAGAGAAAGCTTTGGCTTTGGTTGAATGTTCTTCGAATAGAGTTTTGGCAACGTATTAGTCTTCAAATATTTGGCAAAGGTTCTTTTGTGTAGAGATTTTTCCGACCCTTATGCTTGTGGGAGGACCTTGTATTTATAGGTTTGTCAAGGCTTGCCTTTTGGTGGATTTGGCTTTGATTTATGTCCTAATTTGTCCATGGGAGAATTTAGGCATGTTTTGTGTCTTAATTTCAGCCATGTTACTCCTTTGGCTGAAATTATGAGGCCTTGTTGCCGATTTTGTGAGCAATCTTCAATTCTTGCTTATTTTATGAAGATGCCTTTTCTTTCCGATTTTGAGAGCAATTTGGGCCATTTTGCAGAATTCAAGGGAGTTTTCTCCCTTTAGCCGAATTTTGGGAATATTTTATACTTCCCTTGCTTGATTTGTGCCACATGTCATTGATGACTTGTCCATTTGTGATGAATCATATGCCACATAGAGCTTTGCGATGCATCCTTTGTATGCAATGAAATTTACGTGTCTACAAACAGCCATTGCAAATTCGCAGCAATCAATATATGTCCTTAGGTCTTCCGTTCTATATTATAAGTTTAAGTGTATGGCTAATGTAATTACAGACATATTTCTATCATTAACCTTATCTTAATACGCTTGTTTCTGCTAATTAACTTCATTCTCTAAAGCTCTTAGTAAAATGGGGACTAGTGTTGCCCATTGCTAAGCTTTGTTAAAACAGTTTTTAACATAATTACCACAACTTGACTAATCCACGTTAGAAGGGAAAAAAAATAAAGGAAAACTAATGAAAAAGGCTTAAAAACTTTGAGTTTTAACGATAAGGACAAAATAAAGGGTAAAGTAGATAATACCAGGATTGAATTTTTAATGTAAAAATGTGGTTTTTCGTTAAAATGAAACAGTACATGGAGCTTTTCGCTAAAGTTCTCAAAAAATAATGCTAACTTATTAGAGATATACGAGGGCCGGTGACATCTGTTGTACTTTAGGAACTCCTAAAACCACAGGCGGAAGCTTTCCATTTCTTTTTTCAACTCAAATATATCCTAAACTAAACGTGGTTAATTAGTTTAAATTTTCTTGATTATGTGAGTTTATTGCATAATTGGATGCAAGCACAAACCCTGGAAAAACAGGAGTTAAAAGAATCAAGACAAAGACTATTTGGGCTTTATATTGAATGTGTTGTCACTACAAAACTAAACGTCATTAGTGAGGGTCAAATAGTGTTAGAAAGGCAATTTTCTATTGCAAATACTTATTTTCGATAAGAAAAAACCTTGCTAGGCATCGAAAATTGTTCCATTGGAAATACATTTTTCCCGACCAGCAGTCGAAAATGCTTCATTTGCGACGCATATGGCTCGTTGATACTAGTTATCTTTCCGTCGGAAATGAATTTTAAAATGGCAAAAAAAAATTATTTTCGACATGTCAATGTGGTCACAAATACTTATATGATTGTGAAATACTTTCTAAATGACGACATTTGTTTTTTGTGATGATTTTCTTACGACTAAAACATTGTGTCGAAAAATATTTTTCTAACAATAAAATGTAATTTATAAGAGCTCATAGTCATCGCAATTACCATTACCGACAATTAAGAATGTCAAAGATACACATAAAAACATATTTTTAAGGGTCAAGAGTCATTGGAATTACATATTTGCTATGATCCATTTTCTTCAGGAAAAATAAAATGATACAAATACAATTTTGTTTAAAAGTTTAACAACATTTTAAATGGCAATTTTATTGAAAGAATTGTTTTATATTAATGAAATTGTTGCAGTCCTATTAGATTAGGAATGTGATTGAGTAAATTCTAGTGTATCTAGGGATATCTTGGAATAATCCCTAGGGTTAGATATTATCCTATTAAAGTTGTAATCCTATTAGGGTAAGGATTTAACCTATCCTACTACTATAAATAAAGGCACAATGGGGTGATACAACACACACTCAGAATTACATCTTTCTCTCTTGCCACTAGCCTTCTCCCTCTATAGTCCCAAAATACAGTTCAGTAAATTAGGCCTACAACATGTTATCAACACGCTCTTACTAGAAGCTAAGATACTGAAGGATTGTGGAAGAGGCTCTTCTACACAATCAAAGGCTTAATCGTTTTCTGCCAATCAAGTTTTTTTTAAAATAAATTAAGATATTTGAAACAACCCTGAAGCATGAAAACATTCCCCATGATGCATGAACCCCCTATATTTATATTTTCCTTTCAATTATATATATTGCATATGTGTTCATATATTTTGTCAATATATATATATATATATATGTTGATGCACAAAACCGGAAGAGTCTTGGAACAACGTAAATCCGACCCTAAATCTGCAAGAAAGTAAATAACACAAGATGTATCGTGGTTCACCCCAATGTTTGGGTTACGTCCACACTGATTATTGTATTTCTCTGTGAGGGAAAGAGAGGGAGAGAGAGCTTCCTTATGTAAGGATGAGCTTCTCTGAATATGAGAGGGGATGTGAGGCTCTGAGAGGGTGAGAGTCAGACCTAAGAATTGGTCTCCCCTAATGAGGAGAGTGAGGAGTCCTTTTATAGAATAAGGGCTCCTCACTTTTACATATTTGCCCCTTCCTTTGTTACATAATTACATTTGAGTCCCCTGAGTATTTATACGAGATCTAAATACGGAGACCCTAAGTATGGTACAAACAGTAGTCCCCCAAGTCTTCAATTAAGAGAGTCTTTTGGCTGGAGACTTGAAATTCAGTCCATGTGTGGGCCGAAGTAACTAGATGTTATCTTGAACTGATACTCGATATAAGGTGGTGCTCAATCTGAAATGATGCTCAGTTAAAAGTAGCACATGTTGCAAAGCTGCTCTGCTTATGGCTTATGTTGCCTTGGTTGGCACGACTTGTGCCGTTTGAAGGTGAGGGAGTTCCTTTTATAGAATAAAGGTTCGCTCCTCAATACATAAATATGGGCTAAAGTTGATGCTCGTGGCGAGGCGATTGCTCAGTAGGCGACGATGCTTTCTAATGATGGTGAGGGAGTCCCTTTTATGGAATAAGGGCTCGCTCCTCAATACATGAATAATGGGCTAGAGTTGATGCTCTCTAATGATGGTGATGGAGTCCCTTTTATAAAATAAGGGCTCGCTCCTCAGTACATAAGTGATGGGTGCTTTCTAATGAAAGTGAGGGAGTCCCTTTTATAGAATAAGGGCTCGATCATTAGTACATAAATAATAGGCTAAGTCCTCCAAGTATTTTTCATGAGGCCCAATATTTGGTACATAGTGTAGTCCCCCAAGTCTTTGGTCAATATAGGTTGTTGGCTGGAGACTTCAAATTCAATCCATGTATGGGCCGAAATGGCGGTTGTTCAGAGGCGGTCTTTGTAGACCATGCACTAAAGCTTTGTAGGTGAAGTTTTGTAAGTTGGAGCCTTGAAGCTAGAGCTCTGTAAATGAAGCTTTTGAAGCTAGAGCTCTGTAAATGAAGCTTTTGATGCTGGAGCTTTTATAAATGAAGCTTTTGAAGCTAAAGCTCTGTAAATGAAGCTTTTGAAGCTGATTGACATGAGCGATGCTCATGAATGTTTATGTTGATTGACATGAGTGATGCTCATGGATGTTGACATGAGTGATGCTCATGAATGTTGACATGAGTGATGCTCATGGATGTTGACATGAATAATGGTCATGAATGTTTATGTATGATTGACATAAGTGATGCTCATGAAATGTTTATGTATGATTGACATGAGTAATGCTCATGTATAATTTTGGAGTACTGGACGTACTTTTGATCACTTGGTTGGTGATAATAGCAGCATGATGCCGAATAATTTTGGAGTACTGGGCGTACTTTTGATCACTTGGTTAGTGATAATAGCGGCAGGCTACCGAATAATTTCAAAGTACTGGGCGTACTTTTGGTCACCTGGTTGGTGATAATAGCGGCAGTGTGCCGAATAATTTTGGAGCCATAAGGCCTAGTTCTTTTGGGCATATGGGTCTTGGCCCTCCACATAACATTCCAACCTATTATTTTGGGCTTGCCTTTTTTTTTATTACCCTTTGATGGGGTTTATACAGATGTCTTCGAAAGATAAGAAAAATAAATTACATCGTTAAAAAATAAAGGTTTCGACAGTTGCAGATCGTTGGTGCGTACTGCACCTACTGCGTACTGGGTTGCTGCAGATCTTTTTCCATGTGTGTATTGTGCCTGCTGAACGTTTTACCTTTTCCTTTCTCTTTATTTTTCTTTCTTTTGGTAATGCCATTTCCTTTTTTGCTTTTGCTTTTGTCATTCTCTTTTCCACCACACCTTTCTTTTGTTTGTTTTTTCTTTCCACTGTGCCTCTCTCTCTGCTTTTCTTCAGACATCATTCTACTTTTTCTCAAAAGCCATTTCTCATCAAGAAAACTCTTCGTCAACCAGCTCACACTAGTTGAGGCCGAGTGTGAGTGGAATTCCGTTGGACTTGGCCTCGATCAAGAACCTGGTAAGCGCGAACGGTTCCAGCTTGGGCTGCTCCATGGAGAAGAGCACGAGCATATGGTCCACATTCGCAACCAGAGGGTCAAGAATCGTGGAGCTCTGCTGGTATACATTCTTAATCATTCCCCGGTGGTCCACCCAATCAATCGACCCTACCAGCACCTTGTCCCCAACCAACACAATCCTCTTAATTTTCTTCAACATCGCCTTCACGACGCACAGTAGCTTCAATTTGCTCTCTTCGATGCTTTTAGGAGGCTCCACGATGACGCGCATGAAGTTGACCTGAGTGGCGGCAACGGTGCCAACGGTTTGGGACTCGGAGAAATGGGGCTTGTCTTAGAGAGACAGGACAGGGGCGAAGAAGGATGAGTGTTGTGGGGCAGAAGAAACGCCAAGCCTGGAGCTGGTGGCCATGAAGACGATGGGTCGGAGAGGACTTTGAAGTAACTATATATGGCTTTAGGTGGTTTCACTTTTGCTGCTGCCGAAGTAGAAGCAGCAACATAAGATGTTTTACCTCCTTCAACTTTTGAGGTAGCCTTAGCTGCTCGTTAAGCTTCCTGAACAGCCCGTCTTTCGGCTTTTGTGGTTTTCTCCTTCAGTGGCTTCGAATTTGCAGCTCGCTCGCTTTGTACTTCCACTGACACATCAACATCTTTCTTAGAAATCCTAAAAGGCATCTTGACCACGGAAATCGTCATCAACCCACAAACTGCTCCCTTCTGCACTTGTTCATAGTCCTTCGCCTCACAGTCGGTCACCGCAGACTCGCAATCGTTGTCCTATTTGAAATCTTAGATCTCAAAGTGCTCCAGCTGGGACAGAATTCTTGGAACGAGAGAGAGATAGTGGGCTTTAACAAAAGTTGAAATGGAACACGAAAATCAAGGGAGAGAAAGAGATATGTGTTTAATAGAGGTGTTTGGACGGAAAACTAGAAGAAACTGGGGTTGAATTGTATTTGATAGTGCTAGAAATTGTTTTTGGGTTATGCAGATTCACGTTGGAGGGATGAAAAAAAATGAAAGAGAAAACTGATATAACTTTTCATGTCGTTTCCCACAGACGGTGCCAAATGTTGATGCACAAAACCGGAGGAGTCTTGGAACAACGTAAATCCAACCGTGAATCTGCAAGAAAGTAAATAACACAAGATGTATCGTGGTTCACCCTAATGTTTGGGCTATGTCCACATTGATTATTGTATTTCTCTGTGAGGGAGAGAAAAAGAGAGGGAGAAAGCTTCCTTATGTGAGGATGAGCTTCTCTGAATATGAGATGGGATGTGAGGCTCTAAGAGGGTGAGAGTCAGGCCTAAGAATTGGCCTCCCCTAATGAGGAGAGTGAGGAGTCCTTTTATAGAATAAGGGTTCCTCACTTATTACATATTTGCCCATTCCTTTGTTACATAATTACATTTGAGTCCCTCGAGTATTTATACGAGATCTAAATACGGAGACCCTAAGTATGGTACAAACAATATATATTTGTTCATGCAATATGCAATTATGCTATGTGGAATTTGTGAGTCAAAGCATCGAAATTAATTTAAAAGCAATTAGGGTTTTAAACCCTAGAATTCGAAGAAAAAAAATTGAGATTTTTCACGGTTGAGTCGTAGCTCCACTCCGTGTCATCGAGCCAACATGACTAGCTTGCAGCCACACCATCACCAAGACAGCATCGTTTTGACATCATGGACCATCTCGCAACAGCCATGTGGGCATGTTGGTCATGCACAAACAACCAGGCTTAGACTTGGGTTGGGTTCTACACGGGCCTAAAGCCCCGAGTCCACTAGCAACAGCCTTACTGGGTTGCCCCTTGCAGCTTAGCTAAACCTACCAGCAAGCCTTGTGCTTGCTGCATGTTGGCCTTTATCCTAGCTCTGGCCTACCTGCAGCAAGCCTCTACTTGCTAGGCTTCGCCACCTATCACGGGCTGCGACCACCAAAGCCAGCCCAAACAGCTATGCTTGTTTTCCCAGGGCCCAAAATCGAAGCCAGCTCATAGCTGGGCTTCGTACTCATACCCCAGGACAACACAGGTGCTAGGCCCGTTCCCCCTTCCCACGACGCCATTTTGGCCTAAAACCAGCAGCTTGGGCTGTTGGGTTCCTTCCCAGAATCAGCCTGTGGCCTAATAAACCCCTTTAAGGCCTCACCCCGTACACAGAAACCAGCCCACTAATATTGGGCAATGATTTTTCGAATCTAATGCTATTTTTTAACATTCCCGTTAATATTAACCTGAATGTTATTATTTTTCTTCGACGATCAAACCTGGATGGTTAAGATTTATTGAATTAATTAAAGTGACCAACAGTCAATTGCACTGACAATTAATCAAAAGTTATTGGCCTCAAGCTCACTTTTTAGCAATTAATGATTCAATAAATTATTTCTTTTCTTTGAACTGTGGATAGTCCAAATGCACTCACACTTGGGTTCCTAAAGCAATCCCCAAATTCACTAGACTTAGTTGTATATTGTATTTTGTGTTCTTACAGGTACACCTATATATGAACTAGACGTTCATAACTAAATCGAACTTGTGGTTTCGAATTTAGTGCCTTTGAAACCCAAAGTTTTTATTCAAAACTTACCGCATGAAACCCGTAACTTTCATACTGGCTCGAATGCTCCGCCTCAAGCACATGCGATGAATTCTAGCAGCCATAATTGACCGAAACCCTGTTGTGGCCGTGGAAATGGGTTGTAAGCCCCACCATGGGCCAAAGGTAAATAAAGCAAAGGTCCACCCAAGGGAGGAAATTTGACCTAGAAGCGCCAACCCCTTGCCCCTAAGGCCCCAAACTTCAAGAACAAGGGAAAAGTTACCGTTCAATCGGCTTCCATTAAAATGGACATGTGCTACCATTATGGATCAAAGGATCCTTGTTCACGCGTATGCCGAGCTACCCTCGAGGCTATTGGCAAGTATCATTCCCATCGTGAGACTAACTTTGTACATGTGGAACATCCCGAAGATGCTATTACAACTATGGAGGTTTCAGATTTTCAGGAGGCATCCGTTCCCATGGAAGAATAAAGTTTTATTTTTCTAAGACATGTTAGGGTGTTGTACACCCTTAGTGGTCGAAACCCCCCCCCCCCGGGCCCCACTTTATTTTTCTAGGTTTATGGTTTTATTTTTGGACAATTTTTCTCTGTCTTTGGAATTATTTGTTTAGTTTTGGTTTGTTTTGAATTATGGATAATTATCTTTATGGATATTATTTCTTGATTGATTAATTGAATGAATGAAATTATATTTATGCATGTGACCGATTCAATTAATTTATTTCTAGGTATGCCTAGTGGGGAAGTTAGTTGTCTGGCTGATAATGCTACCATGCACACCATCTTGCATGAGCAACACTATTTTACCAACTTCATACCTAAAAATGCACATTAGACAACCCTCTTAGGCCAATCCAACCTGATAGAAGGATACGAAAAGGCCCTATAATGTTGTCAAATGGTCCTAAATTAACCATTAAAGAGGCTTTATATTCTCCATGTTCCGAAAGAACGTTGCTGAGCTTTAGAGATATTCGAGATATTGAATATCATGTTGAAACCACTGAAAAGAATGGTTTTGAATTGCTTTGTATCACTTCTTACGAATATGGCCAGAAGTGTATTCACGAGAAGCTGGAATGTCTCCTAAGTGGGTTGTACATAACAACTATTCGATCCGTGGAGACCCACCATGTGGCCGGCCCTATGCATGGGTTCCCTAGGACATCCTAGATGAGATATGATACGCCGTATCCTCAAAGTACCACACGGGCATCACCTAAAATCTTATCTCGGCCATCTACCATGCAAAGCATGCTCCCTGGGGAAGTTGAATCTTCAATCCTTAGCTACAAAGATTATTCCTGACCCCCTATCTTTCTTCAGAAGATTCAAGGGGATATTTGTGGATCTATCCAACCAACATGCGGACCACTTAAATACTTCATGGTGTTGGTTGATACATCGACACTTTGGTCACATGTCTGCTTATTGTCCACACGCAACGCTGCATTTGCAAAACTCCTAGCTCAAATCATTAAGCTTAGGGCTCACCACCCTAATTATCCAATTAAGTCAATTCAACTGGATAATGCTGGAGAGTTTACGTCACAAACTTTTGACGATTATTGCATGTCAGTTGGGATTGAAGTTGAACATCTTGTACCCCATGTTCACACCCAAAATGGCTTGGCAGAAGCTTTCATAAAGCGCCTTTAAACAATATTTCAGACCTTGGTTATGCGAACCGAATTACCGGTATCTGCCTAGGGCCATACAATATTGCATGCAATTATGTTGGTTCGCCTGAGGCCCACCACTACCCAACCTCATTAACCATTACAGTTGGTTACTGGGTATGAGCCTGACATCTCACATTTACTTGTGTTTGGGTGCACAATCTATGTGCCAAAAGCACTGCCACTACATACTAAAACGGGTCTTCAGAAAAGAATGAGAATCTATGTTGGTTATGATTCGCCATTAATTATTCACTACTTAGGGCCCTTGACAAGAGATCTTTTTGCCGCACGTGTTATAGATTGTCACTTCAATGAGATAGTTTTCCCATCATTAGGGGAGATAAGATCATTAACATTCAATTAGAATGCCGCGAATTGCCGTGGATTACTCTCACTTCGTCTCATTTAGATATCTGCACTGCCTAATCTGAAACTAAAGTGCTACGTAATCTAGATCTTCAGAGCATTGCTCAAGGCATGCCGGATCTAGCAAAGGTGACGAGATCACATATACCCGCTGCAAACGTACCTACAAAGATGGACGTACTTAATGTACGCCGTAACACAGCCTTGGAAGGATGGATTTTCCCTAATAGTGGGGGCGGTCACACCTTCCATGCTGCTCGGTACATTGACGGCTAGCCAATCATCTGCTCCTACCCTGAAGCATGGCAGCCCCTTGGTTTAAAGGATTCACAACCACGAAAAAGGAAAATAGCACAAACTAGTGACCTTAGTCTGAATCCGACCACTACTTACTCATTTGTTCCAACACATGAGGTTATTTTAGATTACGGTGATGTCTTAGACAAGACAAACCAACCTCCCGAGAATCGCGAGATTTCGGTCCATTACGTAGTATTGGATGAGGTTTGGAATTGAAATGAGATGATTTTTGATGATGCATTTGTGTATACAGTTGCTACCAACATCATGCTTAGTGATGACATTGAACCACATTTCTTTTATGAATGTCGACGTAAAACCGATTGGTCAAACTAGAAACAAG